TCCCCCGCCCTGTCCCCTCCTCTGCCCAGGAATCCACTCCCCCGCCCAGGAATCCCCTCCCCCGCCGTTCTATGGAGGAGGGTGTCAGAGCTTACACTGGGTGATTATGTTTGATTTCCTCCTCACATGATTACATTCAGGCTTTGTGATTGGCTGGGCTCGAGGTCACATGCTCCCCCGTACCCGGGTATAGGGGTGCAGCCGGGATGGGGGGAGGGGGGTTGTGAAGAGACACTGACAGTTCAGAGTCTTCGGATATTTCATGTTTTGTCTCTCGGCAGGTCTTGCGCTTCCTCCGGCTCTTTGGCCCCGGGAAGAACGTGCTGTCAGTTTGGCGCAGCGCTCGCAGGAAGAGAAGGAAGAAGCACCGGGAGCTGACGCAGGAGACGCAGGGTAAAGAAGAAGAAGTGGAGGCGGCAACAGAGAAGAAATCCTGCTGGGAGTATGAACACGCACCCCCTCCCCCGCCTGAGCAGTGCCTCTCCGATGATGAGGTGAGCGTCTCCCCAGACCCCACGTTGTCACCTTCCCGTCCTGCCACCGGCGACGGGATCTCAGTCTCCAGAGGGTGGGGGGATGGTGAGATCTCTATGGGGGTCTAAGTCCGGGCTTGTGTGGGCATTGCACCCAGAATGGTGAGCTCCCCAAACAAACTAAAAACCTTTGTCAGACATGAGAGGTACTTCTGTAATAAAGACCGCCCACTGCTGCTCTCTCCTTGTGCAGGGTGACTGGTCTTGTCTCCGCCCCCTCCTGTAATAAAGACCGCTCACTGCTCCTCTCTCTCCATGTGCAGGGTGATTGGTCTTGTCTCCGCCCCCTCCTGTAATAAAGACCGCTCACTGCTCCTCTCTCTCCATGTGCAGGGTGATTGGTCTTGTCTCCGCCCCCTCTGGGAATAAAGGGTGCTCACTGCTGCTCTCTCTCTTTGTGCAGGGTGACTGGTCTCCGCCCCCTCCTGTAGTGGGTGGAGCCTGCTGGGCCCCTCCCACAGCTCTGTATAGTCTATGTCCGGCCTCTGTTTGTGACTTCAGACGTATGACTTGTATCCTTCATGCAGATCACAATGATGGCTCCCGTGGAGTCCAAGTTCCTTCAGTCCTCTGGAGACACGGATAAGGTGGCCGACACAAAGCCGAAAATTGCAGAATGGCGCTACGGCCCGGCACAGCTCTGGTACGATATGCTCGGCGTGTCCGAAGATGGCGGCGAATTCGACTACGGCTTTAAACTGAAGGAAGAAAAGGACGAGGATGAGGAGGATGAGGATGAAGTGATGGAAAAGGTGAGGAGTGTGAATGAGCAATATAAAATGTCTGTGTCCTCCCGGTGATCATTGATCGGTCTGTGTCCTCCCGGTGATCATTGATCGGTCTGTGTCTCCTGTCCCGGTGATCATTGATCGGTCTGTGTCTCCTGTCCCGGTGATCATTGATCAGTCTGTGTCCTCCCGGTGATCATTGATCAGTCTGTGTCTCCTGTCCCGGTGATCATTGATCAGTCTGTGTCTCCTGTCCTGGTGATCATTGAGCAGTCTGTGTCCTGTCCTGGTGATCATTGATCGGTCTGTGTCCTGTCCTGGTGATCATTGATCAGTCTGTGTCTCCTGTCCCGGTGATCATTGATCGGTCTGTGTCTCCTGTCCCGGTGATCATTGATCGGTCTGTGTCTCCTGTCCCGGTGATCATTGATCAGTCTGTGTCCTGTCCTGGTGATCATTATCAGTCTGTGTCCTCCCGGTGATCATTGATCGGTCTGTGTCCTGTCCTGGTGATCATGGATCAGTCTGTGTCCTCCCGGTGATCATTGATCAGTCTGTGTCTCCTGTCCCGGTGATCATTGATCAGTCTGTGTCTCCTGTCCTGGTGATCATTGATCAGTCTGTGTCCTGTCCCGGTGATCATTGATCTCTGTGTCTCCTGTCCCGGTGATCATTGATCAGTCTGTGTCTCCTGTCCCGGTGATCATTGATCAGTCTGTGTCCTGTCCCGGTGATCATTGATCAGTCTGTGTCTCCTGTCCTGGTGATCATTGATCGGTCTGTCTCCTGTCCCGGTGATCATTGATCGGTCTGTGTCTCCTGTCCCGGTGATCATTGATCGGTCTGTGTCTCCTGTCCCGGTGATCATTGATCGGTCTCTGTCTCCTGTCCTGGTGATCATTGATCAGTCTATGTCCTGTCCTGGTGATGATTGATCAGTCTGTGTCCCGTGTCCCTTGTCCCGGTGATCATTGATCAGTCTGTGTCCTGTCCTGGTGATCATTGATCAGTCTGTGTGTGTCCTGTCCTGGTGATCATTGATCAGTCTGTGTCCCTTGTCCCGGTGATCATTGATCAGTCTGTGTCCTGTCCTGGTGATCATTGATCAGTCTGTGTTCCCTGTCCTGGTGATCATTGATCAGTCTGTGTCCCCTGTCCTGGTGATCATTGATCAGTCTGTGTCCCCTGTCCCGGTGATCATTGATCGGTCTGTGTCCTGTCCCGGTGATCCTGCCAGTATAATGATCATTGTAATGAATAGCATTGTTTTTTGGTATATGAAGAGTTTGCTGATTTGGGTTTCTGATGCGTTATAGAAAACGGAGTCCACGGAGGAGACCACGGACCGCCAGTTCCAGGATGAACACTTCTTGATGGTGACGCAGCTCCAGTGGGAGGACGATGTCATCTGGAACGGTGAAGACGTCAAGCACAAGGTCACCAAGACGCAGAGGGCTAGCCTGGCCGGCTGGCTTCCTTCCAGCATGACCAGAAACGCCACAGCGTACAACGCCCAGCAAGGTACGTCATCAGCCCTCTGTGTTGACATGACAGGCGACGTTGTGCGTAGGGGTCGTCCTCTAATTCTCGGACTCAATGCTTTGTGTAGGACTGAGCCGGACTGGATCACTGCTAAACCTTCCAACACCCCTTGTACAAAAACCAAGTCTGTCCGGTGCCCTCATCTCTTCAAAAGGGAAAGAGAAGCATCCACCCGAACAGCAAGGCAAGTGGCAGCTTGGTGACAACATCTGAAACGCGTTGGGCTCCTGGGACTTGGTGGACAATTGACCTAGTAGGGATTTCTGGAGGTCTTGGAGTCTGAAGTTTGGGGGACGGTGGAATCTCTGCACTTTTATTATTTGCTGACACTGCTGTGTAATGACTGGTTGATCCTGCCAGTACAACTGCTGGGTGTCCACTTCCTGCATTAGGGTGACATTGCTCAGCCTGTCCTCGCTGCGTTGTCACCCAATGCAGCTGATGGGCCTCAAGTATTACGGCAATATGTGCTGATGCCTGGTGTGGGCGTGGCTAAGTCTGTAGCAGTTGGCCACACCCACTCCCTCCCACTCACCGATTAACAGGAAGCCGCACTTCTCATGGGACTTGTAGTTTGTTTAGCCCCTCCCACCTTGTGTGGCGGTAACAGTTGGCTACATAGGGAACAAAAAACGTTTTAAAGAAGTTAATTGGGGGGGGGAGGGGGGGGCCTGACAGGTGGACCTTTTAGATGGACTTGTGTCACGTATAGTCTGTAACTGACGTCACTTTGCAGAGGTGTAAATGATCTGAATTCCGCTTTGCAGCATCCATAGAAGAGGACCGCCCGTGGTTTTCCATTTTTCCTATTGACAATGAAGAGCTGGTCTATGGACGCTGGGAAGACAACATCATCTGGGATGACCAAGCCATGGACAGAATATTGGACCCTCCGGTGCTGACTCTGGATCCCAACGATGAGAATATTATCTTAGGTTTGTGATATTTCATACACGCGTGTCATGTCCCGTACACATGGATCGATAATACGAAATCACCTGCACCCCATACAGCGTACAGACCTTGGATGAGAGGTCGGTGCTTGAAGTGACAACACGGATAGCGCCGCGTCAGAGACGGTCCATCATAGAAGTCGCCAGCACTCCATATGTGCAAGAAGTATAAGCACTTTTTACTCGTAGTGACGTCGCTGTGTCACCCAGAAGAAGGGACCCTGCGTGGCCCCGAAACGTTGGCTGTATGACGCAGGTGACGATTTAATAAAAAGTGCTTTACTTCTCGCACACCATCGAGTGCCGGGGACTTCTATGATGGACTGTACACACGGATATCACAATGATGCGCCCAAGGCTCGTTCCCTACTCCCCACACAATGTAATGAGTGTCATGGCCGAGTGTTCAGGTTTTCTATAATCCCCTATCCTTGGTTCCCTCACCCCCACCCCAGCACCCTGAACTGAAGTATGCGCGGCATTTCTGGTTATGGAGGAGCATGTGACTGCACTAGACCAATCAATGCTGTCACATGGGGGGGGGGGGGGG